CAGACATCGATCAGTTTTTATTATATGTATATATAGATATCAATTAGTAGCAACCTATGTTATCAACAGTGAATATTTGAGTTCATGTCAGATTATATATAACGGCTTAGATTTTTAGTTACATTGTGAGCAAAAATATATTACATTTAATTCAATTCTCTTGTTAATGGTTTCAAACTAGAGTTAGTAAGGTACTAAAAAATTAATGGTACTACATTTTTAACGACCTCTATTACGTTTATACTAACTTATAATGGGAGTCCGTGACTAAATAATACGCAGTACTTTCAGACTGCGAATAATATTATAAGGTCAATATAAATATTTCACTCTAGCAAGTTTAAACCAAGCGGCATGCTTAGATGTTTCCTCCCTGGTCATAGGTATGCGAGCGCTCTCCTCCTCCTCCTCTACTCCCACTCTCTGCACGAAGTCACAAGTAGTGACCCTTAAATAAATATGTTGGGACATTAACACACAGCACCATCTAGTTCCTTGGTAAGCTACGAAGCTTGTGTTATGGATACCAGATAGTTGATACACTACACATATATAACTTTAAATACGTACGTATTAGAAATATAAACACTCATGATTGGAGTACAAACATTCGTGCTCATTACACAAATGCCCCAGCGGACTCGAATCCGCGACCGCTGGCACAGTAAGTAGGGTCACTACAAACTGAGCGAAACGTGTCGTCCACTCTTGCTTTCCCGGAATCGAGAAAATCTTTAATAGAGCCAAAAGTTTTCCACAGTGTGAAAGGAACGTCAAGTTTAAACCCGCGACTATTTTGACGTAGAATCACTACGCCAGATGAGCATTTTAAAGTATATAAGCAAAGATACTATGCGGATATGTAGAAATTTTTAGAACTTTCCTCACTACAATACCTATATAATACTAGCGAATCACCCGCCCTTCGCTCGGGTTCGTCCCTAGGTTGATTCCCCATACAAACTTTCATCCCCATTTTCACCCCCTTAAGGGATAATTTCCAGGATAAAAAGTATTCTATGTTCTTTCCCGGATCTCAAACTATCTTCTTACCAAATTTTATCCAAATCAGTTCAGTAGATCCACAGATTACTCCCTACAACGTCACAAACTCACAATTCACAAACTTTACCTCTTTATAATATTAGTATAGATATAATAACATTTGAAAAGAACGCTGACATTTTATGAGAATGATTTCATTTGATATAGAGGAACAATAAAATTTCCCCGTAATTTTTGTATAACGCAAACGTGTATATAATACATCAACCAAGCAAACGTTTTTTGTTCAGATGAAACGAAAGCGCAGACCGCTATGTAAGTGATCCTATTCGACAAAGGCTTTTGTTGTTACACCTTAAGGTTTCATGTTTGAAAACTTAAGATTAAAAATTATATAAGAATACAAAGTATACCTTAAAATAACAAAAGAGTACAGAATTCGTATGTATTTCTTATATTTGCCAACTGAATGTCAATTTTCATGATCAATTTTTTCAATAGTAATATTATACTCAACAGTGACCCTATATAAACTTCAGAAAGAAAAATTCTGAGAATGGCATTATCAGACGACGAAATGCGATACACTGTATGTATGTTTGTGTATATGTTTCTTACTTCAAGTTAAAACGACTGGGCTAGTTTGGATAAAATTTAGTACTTAAAAAGATAAAATTAACGAAAAAAATATTAAATATGTATTATTATATAAAACAAATGTACCTAGAGCAGTATGTTTAGGAAGTTGTATTGCAAATCGATTTCACGCTATTGCAGTGTATCTTTATTAAGTTTTTTTTAATTAGATCTACACATATGATAAAATTGTAACTAAGTCGAATCTGTACATTAAATATTTTTTTGGAAAATCTTATTGAAATAGACATTATTATTGATACTGAGGCCGAATCTATAGTTTTTAGAATTTTTGTCTGTCTGTCTATCTGTCTGTAACCGCATCACGAAGAACCACAGGAGGGATTTTGATGAAATTTGGTATGATAATAGCTGGTTATTCGAGTCAACATATAGGATACTTTTTACTGTCAGAAAATATCTCTTCTCTGAGAAATCTATACTAAACGATAATTATATAAATATAGAAAAAATATTAACATTTACAAAGCATTTTCAAATACTACAATAAAAATGTTCAAGCTATTACTTACATTGTATTCTTTATAAAATTACATTCTATGAGGAGAGAAATTTTAAGCTTCTTACGGGTTTCGCTTGCTTACAAACAGGAACAAAGGTAAAAATGTAATACCTGCGTTTTATGAACACTTGTATTCTATTACTTGTTAGAAAGTGGAAAATTTCTTCACTTCTATAATATTATTTTTGTACTATATGAAAATTGTATCAAGAGTCATTCCACGTTTTTTTTGAATATTTAAAATAAATCATATAATTATCTTTATCTACGTTTTAATAAATAATGTACGTTGACTTGAAAATTACTCTTTACGAAGTAATTCAGTCTTTTTACCTGACTGCGATGGAGCCTAAAGGATGGTTATGTGTTTAACTTGTATGTATGTATGTCTGATCTTATTTTACTTCGTAATTACTGAATGGTTTAACCGATTTTGATGATTAAAATCGTCATTAGATTTATCTTGACAAAGCGAGTGTCATAGGCTACATGGATATTATTAAAAGTCAAAAATCCAAATGTCAAAAATCATATTTCAGGCGCCAATTTGTTGATTTCTCTCAGGTCTCGCACTTTTATCAACTAATGAGTATTAAGGAGTATAGAGAAATTGAACACCGGATTAAAAATCGATCTCACGAACAGATGTACCAAACAATGTTTATATAAAAATTGATAATTTTTCTATAAGATAAGTTTTTGTAGCGTTCGTGCATATATTTTATAATCGATCCAAACATAAAAGTACAAGAGTAAATCATTTTAACCCTAAACTTTAGGTATAGCATAAAAAAATTTTTTATTTACGCAAACATTTGACATTTTAAATGAAACTACCTTTTCAGATTTTTCTTTCCCGTCGAAATAGAGTGACAGATTGGCGTGATTTTTTGTGTGGAGATAGTTGAACGGCTGGAAAGTAACATATAGCCTTTTACCGCGGAAGATTATCTCATTCCCACGGGAAAACACATTATAATACAACCCACAACAACTCATCATATCAATGTATATAATATATAATATGTAGTCTATTCCATACTAACTGTTATAACTTACCTAAGGACGAACCAAATAAAGCGGGGATGAGCCGCTAGTTAATGAGAAATACAAAATTGTAATTGAGTAATCAAAATGTACAAGAATATATTGACTCAAAGGAGTAAGATATAACGTAATGAAGATTTATTTACTTGTACTCGAAAAGATTTACATCTAAATCCTCTTATGAATGAAGTATAAGCTAGAAGATATTACTAAAACATATTACGAAGTAGTTAATTTGAACCTTGTTAGTTAAACAATTTATCTGGCTCTTACTGAGCGAAGGTTGTTTTATTTTAAATAAAACTATCTTTTCGGATTATTTCGCGGATTTATTTAGATTTTTGGGTCCTGGCGTTTTGAATGCTTTACAAAAATCGTGGTTACGGGAGAGACTATGGTTTTAGACGTCTCAAAGGCTATGTACTTGTTACAGTGACTACCCACGATTTTACAAAAATGATTTCAAAAATTTAAAATGTCAAATGTTTGCGTAAATCTAAGAAAGTATTATTCTTTTATTTTATGTATTATATATATGATATTTAAAACAGCGGTAGCTCAGTGGTTACATGCTCGCTTGGGAAACTAAGTGAAGCAGGTACAGATCTCGGGTCTTCTTCTTTCTTCATCTTAATGAAGTCAAATACAAAAAAGTCCTTAAAAATCCGTTTTTAGGCCTAAAACCTGTAAACCCTTCACATGCATTCTAACTTAAAATTAATGTTATATACATTTTATTTACAATGGCGCTAGCCGACTTGTTTTCGTAAGTAATATTTCTGTTGGCTGTGCATACACCACACTCTGTCCGGCCATACGTAGTTATTATTATGAATTTATTCAGAGCATATGAAATGAATGTAAACAACAAGTGTTAGAGTATATTTTATAATTATATGAACTTTAAGTAGCTTTATACTGTTAGAACTTACTAGGTCATGGAAAAGTGGGATCGAGTTATTTAAATAATGTGGAATGGTTGTGAGTGTAGTTTATTTTATATGAAAATATATCACGCCTGAACTGTTTAAAGCATATTAAGAATAATTTACGAGTAAAAGAGTGTATGACAAGGATGGTTAATTGATGCGGAAAAGAGACAAACGATTTTGCAGGACGGAATTGTCATTTATTATATATAAGTATTTACAAATGTAGTAGTAATATATACTAATATATAAAGAGGAATTTTTTTTTGTTTTTAGTGGATAAATTAAAAGTTCGCTGAACGATAGATTTTATCCGGTAAATGAGTCCTTAAGAGGGTGAAAAGGGAGTGGAAGTCTTTATGGGGAATCAATGATTTCTCAAGTAAGGGATGTAAAACTCATCATACCTATGTATACAGGGTCATTTTTATTTACTGAAAACCTTTTGGGAATATACTATTTACACCATAACAACAATATCTGTAAAATATTTTTTTGCACCTTCTAAACTTTAAATTTCTAGCATCTGGCCAAGTTTAAATGAGTAAGCGCGGCTTCCTACACCCCTCTACCCCTTCCCCTCCACCGGACACGCACTTTCTTTTGCTAAAGCTGTACTATTACGGTATAAAAGGTGCAATAAAAATATTTTTATTTTCGTTAAATTTAAGATATATTTTTTTCTTACAGATGTTCTTGTTTTCAGGTTTTCAGTAAATTAAAAATTACCCTGTATATCTTTCTATTTATTATATCTATTCCATACTAAGTATCGAAACGTACCTAGGAACGAAGTGAGCTAGGAACGAAGTCACTAGTTGGTAATATTTTCAATTTATATAAGATTTCTTTGCTTTTAGGTGACTCCAGGCATGTACCAAGCACATCCAGCACCTGAGGGTCTCTTCAGATCGGAACTATACGTACAGATACAACTGTGGCCCGCGCACTATGAGAGAGGGGCGCCCATACTACGATGTGAAGCAAAAGTTGGAGACTTGTACAGAGATAACTCTGCTGTCGCGCTGTATTCTGCTAATAGCGATCCTAAAATAGAAAGAGGTGAGTCATAATTTTCTTAGATTACCTTTATTGAAAAACAAACACAGGTTTCAACAGAAAAATATTACTATTGAAATCTGCCTTTAAAATAGTACAAAATCGAAATCGATTTTAATTCAAAATATATCGATTAAAAATCATCTCTCATCAAATCTGGAAAAGTAGTAATTTCTCTGTTTATGTCGAGTTTTTCTTTCAAATTTACATATAAATAGAAATGTACATGTAAAGAAGATATATTTAAATTTTAAATATAAAATTTTAAACATAAAGAAAAGCGTATAATATGCCAAAAGATTACGGAAACTTTTCTTTTTTGAAGTCGGTTAGTAAAGTTAATGCTTCACATATACATAAAATTGTTTTGATATGTTAAATACATTGAAATAAATATAGATAGTTAGAGATTTATATATTATATATATACTATTCTTTATTGCACTTATATGTAAAATACAGAGATTAACAAACAACAAAATTAGTTATCAAAGGACTTATCTCTAGTAGAGATCTCTTCCAGTCAACTTAAGTGAGTTGGAGAGATAGTATTAAAAAAAGGTAAAATAAATACTATATACTATATAACTATACTATATGTATGTATAATATATTTGACCAAACATTAATATGAAGACTGTGAAAGTGAAAATGCAATTTAAAAAAAATTTTCAAAATTCTTGAAATCAGACCATTTAGAGAGTTAAGCCTAAAAAGCTAACAAACGGACAGAAAACACACTTGCGCATTATATATTAATTATAATTAATAAGGATACATAAGAACATTGTAAATTATTATCTTCTAACTATAAAACTTGTAGTCAGCCAAAAAAAAAACGATGTCAACAAGATGTTTGCATACATACTTATATCTACTTCAAAAAGATACTGTAACGCCAATATTAATATCTAGTACTTACATTACCACAAACTACATTTCAGTTTAAATAGGTAGAACAGGAATCGAACTGGCTAACTAGACCACATCACCGCCTACAAAAATTCAATTTTGAAGGTAACATACTAAAGTAAGAGCTAATAATGTATGTATTCAGCCCTTTTTTACTTCCTACTGCTGAGCACGGTCCTCCCTTCAATATGAGGTCATAATCCACCACGAGACAAGTACGGGTTGGCGGACTGTATAACTCATTGGCTCACTATTACAAGGTTCTATGTTACAATTTTAGTACTTATTTAGTTATTAATGCTACAAGGTTCTACGTCTCATTAGCTACAGTTTTGCAAAAACAAACCACTAGATAGCGGCACTATAACTACAAAATATTCAATTTTACATAGTTCTATGTTGTTTTTTTTACGATAGCAAAATAACAAAGTTCTATGTAAAAATTACTAAACTTTATTAAAATTAACATAGAACCTTGTAATAGTAAGCCATCGAATTATGTCTTTCGAAAACTTGCCAGATTCTCTCAGACATGCTGGTTCAACACGATGATATAGCGTGAAAGAGTCACATACAAATTTTTACTTTTCATAATAATAGTATGATATTATAAAGAGAATGTTGTTCATACATTTTTTCAAGATTTTTAATATTTGAATTGAATACCTAATCCAGGGCAAAGGGTATTGTTTCAGCAAAGAGATGGAATACAAAAGCTTCAACTTTAATATTACTATTGTTAAATTTCAACAGCGGCCCAAGTACTTAAAGGTATTACGCTTATAAATGAAGACCATAATTAAGAAGCTCAGAAATCCTCTGTTGACCTAGATAATTTTGGACGTGCTATTATTAGCTCTAATTTTAGTATGTTAACTTTAAAATTAAATTTTTGTAAGCGATGTAGTCTAGTTAGCGAGTTCGATTCCCGTTCAGTATGTTTAAACTGAAATATAGTTTCGTCTTCATTATTATATATTTTTTTGTTGTATAAATAACATAAATATTAAAATCGGTTTCACGTATATTACGAAGTTGGCGATTTTTTAACACTTGGAGAATTTATCTTAGCTGTTGTTCTCACCCAGTGGCTGAAATTCGACCTAAACTGTTTTTTTTTTATTTAAGCTCTTTAACATTGTCCCTATTACTAAAGAATTATAATAGACAGAGTCCGTGAAAATAAATGTCAAAGTCAGATTTAGTAGCGTGATTTGCTGTTTATGCTACTATTCTCAATTGCCATACAAATTGTTGAGAATAAAATATTAATAATAAAAATAATATCTTATTTTTTATATTTTTAAACATTACCTAATCCTAGAGAGATTATAATAGTTTTTTTTCCTTTGTTATAATAGATGCTGTTAATTATTTGTATTTATTAACATTTATTTATTTATCACCCAATATAATGTAAATTGTCATTTGTATACTATTTTAAACCATTATTATTTGGCTTCATGTTCAGTCTGTCCGTCATAATATAGACGGAGTGTCATATATTGTTGTTTGTTCATAGAATATTCCTTATTCTGAGTATTACACTTGGTTGAAACTCCAAGTCATATTCCATAAATTATTAAAAAAAAAATACTGTAACTTAAAATATTTAAAATATTATTACCACTTCAAAGAGAACCATTGTGCGAAGTACGTACATTTTAACAATGTTGTGACACATGAAGTTAAAACGAACAACGATACACTGTAAGAGAGGAAATTGTCTTTGCAAATGAGGCGGGAAGCTATAATTTACTGAGCCTCAATGACCTCTTTGGAATATTATTGCTTCAGCTTCCTGGTGATTTGCTGCGCTTTTGGAAAGCTTAAATCCCACTATAATAAGTTTCATTCTTCGACGATGATTCGCGTACAAACGTTGGGTAGTTGCTAACAATGTAACTTTTTGTAGCGTTAATGTTTAAGGGTATAAGGTTTTTGTTATGGTGTTCTAGAACTTTTATTTTATTTTTATGGTCATTATGAAGCATAAATTTTAGGTTTAATATATATTTTTATGAGTACTATCGGATGTGTAATAATACTTTTATTTAATGACTTTGCGATTATTTAGTATATAGTAAGTATGTATGATATGTGGAAATAGGATAGTGTTCTTTGTTAAGTCCCAGGTCAGGCACATTGTAGTTATAGGGTTTTTCTGTTAAAAGATACTAAATAGTAGAGTGAAGGTGGAGAGTCGAAACTGGGAAGTTTGAGCCATTACATGTCCGTTCCTCGCATAACATGTTTTTCGAAGCACAAACCTAGTGTACCAATGCGTCTTGCACCCTTTTTTCATCGATCCTACCATCGATTTTGAGGTATAAATGAATAGAGAGCACTTGTGCGAAAATATCTATTGGGCAATTGGCTCCATGAGATTAGCTGCCATGGCCGAAACTGGTTAAGACGATAATATTAATATTATTTATTTGACGTAGCAATAAAGCTACGCAGAGGTGTCATTTTTTACATAGAACTATTAGATGTAGGATAACTCCTCCAGGTAAATTTCTAAGAAATTAATTAAATTTCAAAGAAATTTATTGTTAACTGTAACACTGGTGTGCCCGCGGTCATTGAGGGAAATATGAGAGGGACATACTTTTATCCCAGCTTAAAAAGCCTTTCTCAAGCTCAAGCTTAAGATATTCAATTTTTACAAAATAAATAAATATTGTCTTCTATAGAATAACACGGTTATGGCATATTTTACGAGTATTTAGTATGCTAATACAGATTATTTATTAGCATACGTTCTCTGTAGATTCCCAAATTTACTAATGTTCAGGCATAATTTAATACAATTTATTAGGTTCTAATAGCAATAAGTCGAAAATTCCACAGTTGGGCATTGTTTTTCTCTATACATAAGAGATATGCCCAAATCCGCGACATCCAACTGAATGCAGGCCTTTCAAGAAGTTCATTCCGTTCATTATACTCTCGATCAAACTTTTATGTTCTTTTAAAGTATAAGCTAGTGGTAATCATGTTCAAAATGTTTTTTCTATATCAAAACATAATTTTACCAAAAAATACACACTATAAACAAAACCTGACGCCTAAACATATCACGAATGCGGATGCAGTCACTTATACATATTTCATACTGCAGATCATCGATACCAATGCGGTACTTCAAACCGAATTCGCTGCATTCAAAACTTGAAATTTATTCAATTTTTTTTGTTACAGTGACGTCACCGGGTGCTGGAGCCAAGCTGATACCGTGCCAAATCCTTCTACTCCTCCACATCATTGTATGGGTGAACAACATACGCATAACATACGTATAAGAACATCGATCAGAGCTCAATACAAACTAACCGAACTAGTTCTTCGAACACGAAATTTGGTTAATTTGGTTTATACACTTTAAAAGAATGTTAAAAAGTTGTAAGTATAAAAATAGATATGCTATAGATATTATGGTAAAGATGTAAGATTAGTTAATTGTACCTAAATGAGCTACCAAAAATGTAAAGACTAAGAATATTGTTGATTTAATACAAATTATATGTCGAATTGTGTGTTTTAATTTCTCTTTTAAAATATTTGTACTTGATTAAATGAAAGTATTAGAACCACAAACAATCTTAAAAACTCAGCGCCTTTTAACGTCCCACTGGGTACTAAATTATATCTAAATACGTCAAGCCATTTCAGTATGAAGGAGTAACAGACATATACACAAGCAAACACACACACACTAACTATTGCATTTATAAAAGTAAAGTGGGCAAGTGAAACCAGGAAGGGTCACTATATCTATAGAAATCCCATGGCTTTTCACCCAATAATCAGCGCTATGGCGCGTACCTTCCATGACATAATGACATTATTTTGACACTCATCGACTTAAGTTTCTCAAAGAGACATGACGTTTATCAGATTACCCAGTACGTGTCTTTAAAGATGTGGTAAACACTACGTATGGAAAAATATAGACAGTAGCCTCTAGATCATATTTATATGACTTAACACCTCCAGGTAAATTGCTAAGAAATCGATTAAAATTCCAAGAAATCGATTGTTAACTGACACGCCGCGCCGACGTGCCCGTGGTCGTGGAGGGATTAAAAGAAAAAGCATAAATACTAATATTAAAAATGCGATGCAAATATTGATGAGTTTGCCAATTCGGAACCGGTATAGCTTTTGACAAAAAAAACTAAATCTAAGTAATTTGTGACGAAATTTAGTAAGAACTATATGTTTCTTATGTGTGTAAATATATATTTTATATATATATATATATATATTTTTTATATATATATATATATATATATATATATTATATGTATATACAACAGTAGCAGTGCGTATGGGTTATCCATTGGTAACTCGCTCGTTTGAGAAACCAAGTGAAGTTTGTTCAAATCCACTTCTCGGACCTATGACATTTTCAAATGCATACGTGAATGGTGGTGACGGAAAACGTCTTGTGGAAATTTTATTTAAAAAAATCCAACTAGTTTTCGAAAGGCGTTTGAAGTCTGCCAACCCACACTTGACTAGCGGCCTGATGCCTCTCGATTATTAGAGGGGAGGCTTGTGCCCAGCAGTGGGATGATGAAAGGAAAACATACATACAGGTAATATAGTCTAAGCATAATTTAATTTTAGATTTTTGATATCTTCTAATTAGCTTATTGTAGAATACAAAGGTTCGCTGTCATACAACTTTATCAAAAAAACCTTACAGAAGCTTTAAGCGAGACAAAGAGTATTATAACTTTTATGCTTAAATAGAATACGTTATTGATCCTTTGTTAAATAAAAAGCTCTGATTATTCAAAGGCAATATGAACTTCAAAACTACAAATACTTAATGAAATATAAAATTCCACGTAAATAATTTAAAATGAATATGTAACTCGATATTGGATAGGCGCCGTCTACTTTTTGTTTAGAAAACTTGTGTTTCTATACCTATTGTACAATAAACTAGCATGCATTCTTACTTTAATCATCCCTCACGAATATTTGACCTCGCACCCCAATTTATCTTCCGACATAAACTTGACTGCCTTAGTACCTAAGTATCTTACACTATTAGGGTGTACTTATTTAATAGGGTATAGGATTTGATTATTTATACTAATGTTCGCTCTGTGGTCGAAATTTATCTAATATATATATATATATATATATATATATATATATATATATATATATATTAAAATTCTAACTAAGCCGAATCTGTACATTAGATATTTATGGGAAAATCTTATTGAAATAGACATTATTTTCGATACAGAGGCCGAATCTATAGTTTTTAGAATTTTTGTCTGTCTGTCTGTTACCGCATCACGGAAAAACCACTGGCGGGATTTTGATGAAATTTGATATGGTGATAGCTGGTTATCCGGTATAATATAATATAGGATACTTTTTACCGCGGGAAAATATCTCATTTCTGAGAAAAAATACAAAAACTGCTATGTAAGAGTATACTAAAACCTAAACCTATGTAAAACCTAAGAATTTGGGTTTTGGTCATCTGAACGAGGGCGAAGCCGCGGGCAATGCTAGTCATTAATATAATTTATAAATGATAATACTGATTCTTACCTATCGATATAAATAACAAAACTGTTTCCAAATTTTTTTATTAATATCGGTATTGGTTAGTTTTTGATTGGCTCGTCAATAGCTTTTAAGCAAAAGAATTAGACAAGTGCGAGTCTTACTCGCACGCTGAGCGTTCTTTGATGGGCAACAATAAAATTAGTTTATAATCGCATTTTTTTGGTGATGTAACAACAAATCTATGGTTATCGGATTTTTTCCCTTAATTGTGCTATAAGACATTGCTTCTTGCCAAATTTCATGTCTAGGTCAAAGGAAAGTACCACGTAGGTACAGAAAGACAGACAGACGGACATCGAAGTGATTCTATAAGGATTCATTTTTTCCGTTTGAGTTATGAAACCCTAAACAAAAAACGTTGACGAACGGAGGAGTTCTGAATTGTTTTGCCTTTTATATAAATATGAAAATAGATTAATTAACTTAAATATAAATTGAATTCATATAAATCCTACTATTATTATAAATGCGAAAGGTTGTAAGGATGTCTGGATGTATAGATATATGGATGTTTGTTACTCTTTCTCGCGAAAACTACTTGATGGATTTTAATGAAACTGTACAATAATATAGCTCATACATCAGAATAGCACATAAACTACTTTTGATCCCGGAAAAATTTATGATTCCCGTGGGATAGACTTGTTTTTGTTTTTCTAGAGGCAAACCCGAGGGAAGCGAGGCTGAGCCACTAGTTAGAATATAATCATTGTCTTAAAAATGATGAGTCTATTTAAAGTCGATCCTAAGACTAACTTTTCTGCGTAATCATTTTTATTATAAACTTTTTCGATTAACCTTTCGGGGTTTGACTTTGTTTTCAACATTGAATATTTTATTACATTTACACGAATGGTCCTAACTCTTAAGTGTCAGTTTCCTTGAATATATAGGACTGGTATTGCTTATTATAGCAGAAGTACCAGGTTCAATCTGAAAGAAGGAAAATTATGATTTTTAATGTCCAATACTACATTTATTAATATATAATAGCAAGACTGTGCATGTACGGCTGCAAATCCGGATATCCTGGATTAGAGTCCCAGTTTGAGCAAGTATTAGGCGTTTGTTAAGGAATTCAGTAGGGCGAACTCAGCAGAGCATTGGTCGTGTCAAGTTGTCGTTCTGCTGACTTCGAAAGTGAAAGTAATAGAAAATGCACTTGTCATTAGGTATGCACTTGTGCACTAGAATATCTAGTTTTATAACATCTAGTTTCAGTGATATCGACCCCCGTATCAGAAATCGCCTTGAAGTAAGAAACATCGATTACGATGGTGAGTTATGGACCCACTAATATGGACACATCCATAACAACTCACCAGACCTCCTCCCCTATCCCCCCCTCCTCCCGCTCTCTCACCACGGTAAGATTAACACAATCAAAGGGGGTTCATATAAATAATATATTTGGATAAAGCCACAATTGATCGCTAGTTTTCAACAAACCAACATAAAACATAATTTTGCTTAGTATCGCATAGCACGTACAATTTTCAACAATTAAAGACCAGTAGGATGTTTTAATTAAAACTACTTGCATTCTGACGTTAAAGTTCCAATACAACTTTACGTCTGAAAGCAGCGAACATGATACGATGGCAATGCGATAAAAAAGTTCGTTTTGCAACCAACGCTTCCACCGAATTTATTGCGCTCGGTACAAACAGTTCACTTCATGTATCAACTTTGCTCTTACGCATCACTTGGTTTACGGATTGGTCGGGTTTGACTGATTGCTGACATTATTACTTTTTGAAGGAAATATATGAAAATTAAACCGTATTTTTTCGTATATTTCAGTAACTTTTTCTGATATATTACGTTATTTCTGGGGGAATCTCTTAATGTACCACGGTATGGGAAGTCTAGTTAGACTTTTTTATATCTATAGCTACTCGTAAGTATGTACTAAGTTTTATGGTGGTTTTTTGAACCAACAGTCTATATATATATATATATATATATATATATATATAATAGTATATACTCGTACATACAAAGGTAAGACCGTACAGTAAGTTTTCTCCTTTGTTTATAAAGCGATTTGTTTTTTTTCCTTAGTATCTATTAACGAGCTTTAGTGGTCTCAATTTTTTGTTGGAAATTTTTTTTTTTGTAGATATGTAGGTACATTCTATTCATAAAATATTCAATATTCTTATTCTTTTTTAAATAAATATGATGAAAATACGCTTTATTTACTGTTAGCTCTTTCATATGACTTTAGAATGTGGTTTTGGATTATGTGTGTCTTGTTGTAAATATTATTAACTGGTTGGTGTTTTTGGATAAAATCACTATCCAGTGAATTTTCTTTAAACTCAGTACTTTTGTATGGGATATTATTTAGATCTATGAAAACATTAGAGCAATAACGCCACGAGCCAACAATATTGAAAAAGTTTTTTTTTATTCAGATACAGTTTTACGGATAGCAAATAAAAGTCTAGGTTTATTCGATATTAAGTTTGTAATAATAAACTTATTATTAAAATCTTAATATAATTCAAGAATCAGTAAAGGTTTGATTTAAATATTTATTAAGCTTCATTTGCCACTTGAAAGTAGTCAAACGATAGATGTACATATCTTCTAACATTTCTCTCTAAGCAGATAGATAAAGAGATCATGAAACCTTTGTTTTTCTTTGACTTTGCCTTAGTTTTAAAGCTGTTAAATTTACAGTATTTATAGAAAG